GCGGACTGACTTCTAAGAAACTCAGAGTGAATGAATTACAGGAATTAATTGGTAAGGTCAGCAATGAAATCGTGAGTCCGTGGCAGAGGGATGCCTTTCTGAAGGGCTACGAATGGCCCCTTTGCTAGATTTATGGGGCTGAGGTGATGAGAGGGAGGTCGGATAATAACCTTTCAGCTGGCCAAGGCAGACCAAATATGCTCTGCCATCGTCCGCTTGCTTTCCAATGTATGTGTGCCATGTTTGGAAAACAAGGCCCCGTCTGTCCCCGCTGGAACAGAAGCAACAAAATAACACCGCTTTTAGGGAAATGCCAAAACAGAGGGGGGGGAAGAAGAAAAAAAAAAAAAAAAAAGATAATCGAAACATTCAGCCTGGCAGCAAACGGGGGATAAGTGCAATAAATCTTGAAAGCGCGCTGTGTTATCTCGGGCAGGAGCTGCTGGCACTGCTCCTCGGCCAGCGTCTCGCCAGCCCAGGGACGCTTCTGTCCTTCGGTCGAGGCTTAGCACGCTGTCTACCATGATGATAACCCAAGATAACTAGAGAAATTTTGTGCTGGAGAAAAGGAAAGCAGGGGGCGGGGAGGGGTGGCTTCCCCGGGGAAGGACGCACGGCACAGCATGGCACAGAGCTGCTCCGAGGCCGTCTCACACGGTGCCGGTGCTGCAGCATCACCCAAAGGGCTCGGTGGGCTGGAGGCCACCGCGCCAGTACCAGCAGCCCCCTCCCACCACCTCAAGGGCTTTCTCGATGCCTGCGCGAGCCGCTGATCCCGAGAGACTCCGAGTTCATTTTAACGTGAATAAACTCAGTAAGTGGTCAAGGAACCTCCGTAATTCAGCTACAAATTTGATATAAAAGAAGACACAAACTTTCCTTCTGGTTTGATGTGTAGCTGAACCACCAACAACAGAGGGGGGAAAAAACCTGCAAACAAAAATAGTATCCTTGAGTCTTCTGCTTATTACATGGCAACAAAGGTATGTGATGCTGCAGAGCTTTGGCTCGTGGCCCTGTCCGGCTCTCACACACGTCCTGAAGGCGTTACGGAAGTCCAACGGGAATCCGTGAGTTCTGACGAGGGGTATCCCTGCTGCCCACCTTTCCTGCCCTCCCAGCAGAAGGCGGCAGAGATGTCCTGCGAGGCAGCTGGATGGTAGTGACCGCTTCATTGCCACCCCATTTTGCTCCTCCAGTTTTCCGTGCTCAGCATCAGCTCTCCTGCTGTGCTGCGGGGGTTCACCTGGGGGGGGTTCTCCGCCGGCAGCCCGTGCAGCAGGACGGGGCACCTCAGCCAGCCCCCGAGGGCCACCGCTGGGACGGGGGCTCCGGGGAGCACAGCAGAGCCGGGGGGCTGCGATCCTTCTCTGAGGAGCAGCTCCCCTTTGAGATTTTTCCGGAGAACACCCTCTGCCCTTTTGCTTGCCTTGATCTTATTCAGGTGGAGACAGAATTTCAAAATGCTCAACTACAGGGAAAAAAAATGTAGAGGAGGATGCTGTTTCTCCCCCCGTTCTTTCCCCCATCTCTGAAGGGGTTGATCCTGCAGTACTGCCGAGACCAAACCGTAGTCAGCGGGGGAAAAGACGTTTTCCAAGGCAGCTCCAAGGTGGTCAGCAGCCACAGAGCAATGGGCTCTGGTGTGCGCTTTGTGCCGGTCCAGCAGCAGCCAGAGCCCCTCCAGGCACACCGGCTTTTCCCGAGGTGCCCTTAAAGCTCCTCACATGGAACGCATCGGTTCGAGGTCTCAAGGCATCGCTGCAAGACCCCAGCTTGGAAATGTTGATCTGGTAAGAATTGCCTCTCTTCTGCAAAGCACAGCCCTTCCTTTTTCTCTGCTGTAGTGATTTTTCTGCCGTTATAACTCACCGTGAGCACTCGGACTGCAGGCACTAACACACACAGGCAGCAGCCGCCTCTACCTTCGGGTGGCCAGCACGTGTCAGATGGCACCCGCATGGTTTCAGCATGAATCACTCACTGCCTCTGTAACCAACATTCCCATAACCTAAATCTATCAAAACGAACATAAACCACATCAGAAGGCAGTTCTCAGATACTCATTTGCTAAGACTTTGGAAATCTCTTATATTAAACAGATCATCTCTTTATAGGAGTATGAAGCCGCCCTGATTACACAAAGGATGGGAAGGGACAAGCTTCCATCTGGGAAGGTTGTTTAGCTTTTTCTGGCTTCCTAAAAAGCCATTGTCTTGTAAACTGAGCATTCCTCTGCTGCCCTGGTAGACACAACATTCCCCCCGCCCCAACCCAGCGCTGCACAGGGCCGGCTTCGCTCTCGGCAGAGCTGCGGTCCCCACGCCGGCCGGCCCCGAGATGCCGGTGGGGACAGGAGCCCTGGGTGTGCTGGGGCTGGCTGCCCCAAAACACCCCACCGGGAGCACAGCGCGCTGCCAGACACCGTCCTGTGCCAGCTCCTCTGTGTGGTCCCTCCGCAGCAGCCCCTGGTTTGTTGTTTTTCGGAAGGATGCTCTTTGCTCCGAGCACCTACTGCGCATCCACCCCCGTCTCCCCACGCTGGTGGGTGCTCTCCCGGTGTGGGGTGCATGCCGAGACCAGCTCCAGGCGACGTGACGCAGCAAGAGGCGTTGGTCTTCAACCTTTTATTCCCCTCCTCTGCTGTGTGACACTGACAGCGGTTCCCTCCCCTCCACAGTGACATTTTGAATTGGGGAATCAAACCGAGAAGAGAATTTTTCAGGATGTGCCTGGGGAGGAAAGGGTGGATGAGCAGAGACAGGGACAGTGACAACAGCAAGGTGGGAAGAGGGAAAATCTGGCCTAGGTCTGCAGAAGACCCAATTTGGGGAGGGCTTTAGGAAGCTTCTCCCCCCCCTGCTTTTTTTTTT